TTGTCGGCCGGGCGGTCACGCTCGCTCTTCGCCTCTTCTCCTTACAGGGGGGAAGGGGCTGTGTCCCGTATCTGGGGAGCTGCTGAGGGAAAAGTAGCTTGTTTTGCCCAGTTTTAGCAGACGGGCACCTCCAAACTTCCAGTCCTGCAAGTTTCCAGAGCCCCCTGCCTTCCACGAGTCGCAGCTTTGGGCACCCATAGCATCGCGGGCTGCAAAAAGCGGCAGCACTCGACGAGTTTCGCTCGCCCGGCACCCAAGTGTTTGCATCTCCCCTCCGCTTCATCAGCATTTCCCCTTGGTATTGCCCCTCGGGACTAGGAAAGCGTTTATTCTTAGTTGTGTCTTAATGTGGTTCCAGTCATGGAAGAAAGATGAGGAAGGTGCTTGCGTCCGACCAGTTTGTCGGGACTGTAAGCATTACGCTGCAGTTCGGGACCCAGCACAGCGTGATGTCAGCTCGCGTGCTTCAGTCAAAATTTATTATCGCTTGGGAGTCCACTCTTTTTTCTTTAGACGCGTGCTCTAGTTTCTTTTAGTGATTGTCATCCAGCTCTGGGAGAAATGCAAGTAATGTCATACTGCGTCTCACTGGTTCAAACAGTCTGTTCTTTTGGCTCATCTGTATTAACACAGTTGTAACCACTAGAAATTTCTGAAACTGATTTGCCTTCTGTGAGTCACAAAATGTCAACACCTGTGCCTTAACCTGTTGAATATAAAGGCCGACTATTAAGCAGAGGGATGGGATACTCATGCATGATTTCATTGTAGTACAATTAAAGAGCGCATCTTCTGGGAAAGGAAGTGTGGTACCTCAACTTCTAATTGGACCTACTTCATAAACAAGGTACAGGACCAGATGTACCAATTAGTGTAAAGAGTTGTGTCAGATCCTGCATGTTATAATTAGTCATGGCACTAGAGGCCTGTTTGTGCATTGTTAGAAGGGTTTTGTTGAAGAAATTTCTTACTTTAAAATTTTCTGAAGCTGAGGAGACTTTTATTATTATTATTATTATTTGTGTGTAGGAAGGAATTGAGTCAAATGCGATTTGAGAAGTGATTGTTAGCTTGCTGGTCATGTTAGTGTGAAGCACATTTATTCTTGGTGCTCATGGAGTTTGAGGGAAGGGAGAGTCTCCCAATTCTCCATTTGAACGCAGGAGGCTTCAGGGAGAAATAGAGATGAAATGTCTAGTTTTCCAAAAGCCCTAATATTTACTACATAACATTGTTATTTGTGAAGGCTCGAATGTGCACTTTTTTAAAAAAAAAGTGACACTTGTTAGTAACATACTTACTGTAATGACTTTCATAGTTTATTAATACCAAACTTATTTTTAAAAATAAACGTTTCAAATGGGCATCTTTTCAGTAACCTTATTCTTCATTTTAAGTTTCTCAGTAAAAGCTTGTGAAACCAAGCTTGTTACAAAAATGCAAAATTTCATCACCTGAAAGTGGCAGTGTCTTGACAGCTGTAGCGCTGTGAAAAATAAACTTGAAAACATACATCACAATCATCCTCAAATATCTAAAAATTCAGTCACATTCTCACAAATAAATTGGCTGTAGGAAAAAAAATGTGGCTCAAGTGGTTTGTCAGCTCGATTTTTATTTTTTTTTCTTACCTATAAAGTGATCTATTCTTTGCACCTTGTTTCATATTAGAGCATCTTCTATACATAAAAATGCATCTACATTTTATTTGCTCTTCAATAAGAGTTCATTTTCTGAGTTGAGGGGGTGGAAAAACTGCTGTTCCATCCTCTGCCTTAGCCAGAATAGATTCTTCTCCAGCCCTGACCTGGTCTGTGGCTGTTGCCTGACCCTCGCCTGGTGATCAGGACGTTACCATCTTCCCTTGCAGCAGCCTGTCTTCAGCCACTTTGCAAACCACAGGAAGGTTGGACGCAGCCTTGGTTTTTGTTTCCTGTTTCTTCCATGGTTGTTTTTCTGAGGAGTTCAAGGAGCTGCTTATAGATCTGCTTGTCAAGTTGAACAAGCAGGTATTCAGGCTAAGTGGTTTTGATGGGTATTTGAAAATTACATTTAGGGTAAAATCATTAATACACAGAGGAGCAAAGTGTGGACTATTGAGAAAAAGCAGGTTGCAAAGTTCTGGAGTTAGTGTGCATAGTAAGGCTGAAATTTGAACCTGAAGTATCTCCAGATTAATGGTAGGCAGCTTCTTTCAAATAGACGTGTGAAGATGAATGAAGCCTCAGTTAAAGAGAGATACCCGGAAGAAGTATTTTTGTATTGGGCTTATAGAATCAAATCTGGTCAAGGACCGTAAAGGTAGCCATTACTTTGCTTTAAAAGGTAGAGGTTCCCTGGAGCTAGCTATTTTTATGGGATAGTTTACACCAAGCATACTTCAGTTAATTGCTAGATAGATGGAAAAAGTCAGCACCTTAAAAAAATTGTTGGCTGAAGATCTGTTTGATACATTGAAGAGCTTTATATTCTTGGGCTGAATGTCTGTTATTTGGACATAAAATGCTGTGCATGTGTTACTTGCTAAATTTTCTTTATATGCAGTCTTTTATCCTATGAAAATGTTTAAACTATTAAAAGGTGTTTTGATTGTTTCATGGTTTCTATTCATATCTCATTAGTTATTAGGTGAAAGCGTTCCTTCTACGGCTTGATAATTATTTTAAAATATAAGGACAAAACTTGGTATTTGTTTTGAAAGAAATATTTGTCTAAGCGCATGCTGCATTTGACATTCATACCAATGGAATATGTAAGGATATGAATTGAGTCACTTCATTCCTACGCAATCCATAATTTTAAAACTACATAGCTAGCAAGAAAGATCTAAAATGTATGCAATTACTTTGAACTCTGTACAAAGATTTGTGTTTGCAATAGCAGATTTTTATATTGAGTCTGTGCACTGGTTAGGAAGGGATTCTTTTAAATTTTTGTCTGGTTGTTCAATTGATTTTTAAGCACTGATTATACTTAGAAATGTCACTGACTTCTTCATATTTTGCATCTATTCAGTTCTGGGCTCACTGTCTTATAACTCAGTAAAATGTGTTTCTCATTTTAAAAAAAAAGAGGTAAGAATGGGGGAAGTTTCCTCTAAGAATCCATTTCTACACCTCTGAAACAAGCAAATACCCCATGTCGTTTTAATCTGGAAAATTATTCTACCAACTGTTATAATTCTTTTTTTGTAACTTGAGGAAGAAGAGAGTTGTACTTGTGGAAGATGAAGTTTGTTTTGGGAATTCATCCTAATGCGCTGGCATATTCCATGACTACGTTAGGTGCCGGAATGATGAACAGTATCTTTAATTTCTACTACGTTAAGCTTTTCTTAAACCGATACAAAATTTCAGAAGTAGCATTTCATCAAGCACAGGTATTGTACAATGGAATATAGTGATTACCATGTTGTGCTATGTGTCTGTGTTGTCACAACGAAGTAATTTTTTTTACTTAGAAATTAATTTTGGTTGCATAGCAAATAGTTATAAAGTAAATTAATTTTAAATTTAGTTAGTTCATAAGCAATTGAAGGTACACATAAAGCACATCGTTTACAGTCTTTAGACTAAAAATCTCCAGACTGGAAAGATTTTTACCTGTGATGATAGCTTGAAGTAATGTTCTAAACTAATCTTGCACCTCAGCTCTGTAGACATGTTTGACATTAGTGCTTTCCTATGGACTGTTTAAGTACTTACATACTGCCTTTATTCTGTAAGTCATTATCCATGTAAGCAGCTCTTGTCATAAATGGGCTCCTGAAAGTAATGGGCCAGCTCATGTTTGGAATTACTTGCTGTGAGAGTAATCTCTGCACTTTGCAAGATGAAAGCCCAGATACATAAGCTTTTGAAGGAGTGAAGTCTTACAGACAGGGCTTTATTTCACATGTAGTTGGGTACCTGCCTACTTACTCATCTTCTTTTTTCAAATTACTATAAGCCTCTAAATACCTTTAAGAATTTGGTCTGGAGTGTGTTTTGACCTGAGAAGCTTTCATCTTTCTTTATTCTTTGAATAGAGATTTATTTTAAATAAATAATGTGTATTACTTCTGTTTGTATTACCTCTGCAGAAAAATCACACTAATGCTAAATTCTGTTGTGTTTCTTACTTGTTTGTCACAGGTTGTCTTTATGATATGGAATGCCATTAATGATCCTCTTTTTGGGTATATTCAAGATAACTCCAAATTCGCATGCTGCTCAAGACGCCAGTTTTCAATTTTGTATGGAGCTCCTTTTTATGCGTTAGCCTTTTTGCTTCCTTGGTTTCCTTGGAAACATTATGAAGAAGGTGACTGGCTAAGTGGTCTTCACCTCATTGTTGCACTATGTGCTTTTGACGGTTTGCTTACATTTGTGCTTCTAGCGCAGTGTGCGCTCTTTGCAGAAATTTCAACAAGACATGAAAGTAGGCTTCAGCTTATTAAATATAATCAAGTAGCAACATTAATTGGATCAACAAGCATTCTCTTTTGTGGTCTCATATCAGATAATATGGAAAATTTTGCCTATTTTCAGGCTTTTGCTGTTTTGGTTGCAGCATTAGCAACAGCTTGTATGTGTTACACAGGCAAATACAGTACTAGTCAATATGAGCAGAGGGAAATTTGCACGGAGAATGCTAATCTGGAAAACAGTGATGGAGTTCTCTCCTGGTCCTCTGTAATTTCATTGACCAAACAGATTATGACAGAGAAAAACTTTTTATTTTTTGTAACAATGAACTTCTTCCAAGTCTTCCACCTAGCCTTCTGCAACAATTTTATGATGATCTTTGCGGATAATCTTATTCCTAAGGACGTCCTTTCTTCCTCAATAAGAAGTATCATGTATGGAGCAGGCTTTATTTGTCCTCAGGTAGGCAGTTACACTTTTTTTATTTCAAAATACGAAAACATGGTGTTTTACTGGTTTTAATTAGTTTAAGGTATCCATTTACACTGTTTGTTGCAAAAAAATACTGTATCTGACATAAGCCATTGGCCATACTGAGAAATAAATCTAGCTCACCAGTGCTCTAGAAGAAGAAAGTACATCTATATACAGGCTATCCAAGGACAAGCAGGAAGGCTGGTAGAATATCTCTCACAAGAATATGAGATGTGAGTGTGCAAGGAGTGAATGTTTTGTGTACTACAGGGTGTATATAATACCTAAGTATAAAAGAATGAAAAATGTGGTCAAGATAAAAAGTTTCTAAAAGCAAAATCTATAGAATTCTGAATTCTTTTCTCTTTGGTTTTGATTTGTAATACATGATGAAAGAATAATCTCTTCTCCAGGAAGTTTCTGAGATAAACTTCACAAAATACCAGAAAAATTACTAGGTATTAAAAGCATTGTTGAAATGTGTAGTATCTCAGTCATGGGAACCAAAAAAAACTCTAAATAGGTGCTTTTGGAGAATAATACTTTTTATAATACCATTGTTATACTGGAGAATAATACCATTTATTTTGCTGTTTGCTGTCTTGGTCAGCTACATTCAATGGGGAGAGAGATTTTCAAGACCCCAGTCAGGGACAGGGGAGTAATGAACTGGAAAAGAAAAGAGAACCCAAATGAGTAATGTGTGAGAACAAGAAAAGCAGAAAAAAATATGTCCCACAGAATGTAAACATACTTACCTGCAGTGAATAAAAAAAATGTCTCCTGTTCATTCTCTTCTTTGACTGGATCTTTTAAAACTTTCACTGTGTTTACTTGTTGGATTGCTCAAAAACTGAGTACTCTGACTTGCATCATAGGTGATGATGATGTTCAGAATTTCTGAAAATCAGGCTGTTATGTTCATTAAGTTTTAATGTTTTCAATAAGTAAAATCTAAAAGAAGATACATGAAAGTGCAACTGGATTTCACAGCTCAATTCCAGTTACCGTTTTGGGTTTTGCATATATAACATACAAATCCTAAACATACCTTCTCTGTTCCAGAACTCTGAAATACCTATAATTATAACTTTTATCCTTACTATAGGTTTAGTAGGTTTCTTTCTGTTAACTCAGTTAGCTGATGAACTTTGCAAGTAAATCAGAAACTGCAGAAGTTAGGAAAGCTTAAATAGTTTTACACTCAATATATAGCAATCACTACTGTTGATAGAATCAGCGTGACAGTGTGAAACGAACAATCTTTCAGAAAATGCATCTCTCTCTGCTCCCCAGAGACTCTTTGTCTAGAAGGTCACTGAACCGTAGAGAGTTTGCTCTGACCTTATTTTTCTCAGGTTTTGTCCCTTTGAGCTCAAGATATAATAGGAGAATTCTCTGGTGGCAATGTCCTGAACTTCACTTACTACAAAAATACCCAACCCGTGTAAAATAAAGCCCCTTCTTACGAACTGTGCTTCAGTGGCCTGTACTAAACTAGAATTCAGCTTCTATCTTAGGTTCCTTTTACTGGTGGGTGTGAAGAATAAAACCTGCCTACAAGGGAAACCTTGTTGCTGAAACATAGGCAAACAAATTTAAATTTGCATCATTGTTAGTAGTTTTCTTAGAAGTATGCAGTCTTAGAAATGTGCAGTTAATAAGGAATTTTCTAAATCATAAGTACTTCTGAGACAGCGTTACTTGTCAATTATAGGGAGACAAGGTCATGGTTTTTACAATAACATGCATTACATAATGCCTTACCACTTCTAATATAAGCACTTTTCTGCAAAATGTCCGAAAACAGCCAGGGGGAGGAGTATGTTTGTGTCTTACAACCAGGTTTTTTTCTTATACTAACTTTCCAGATTTATCTCCCTGATCATTGGTTTAATTAGAAAACTTGAGCTTCTTTAAGATAGCGTTTGCCACAGTAATCTTAGTTTGACTGGTTTTATTCGCTATGCTAAAGCATTTAAATGTGGGAACAAATGTACAAGGAGAGTTCTTTCCTGTTCTCCCTCTGAATATTACACTGTTCATCTCTGTAACGCAGACAGAAGGAGCACGTGTGTGTCTTTATAGAGTTTGTGAGTATTTTTTGTGACAGTGTCGAGGACCATGTACATGTAGATGGTGGCATAGGCTCACATAATAAAAAGAACATAATTTATTATCAAATGCCCTATTTAAAGTGGAAAGTGAGGAACAATATAGGAAAGATTACACTTTGTTCATACTATAATCAGCACTTACTACCATTTTCATGAGTTCACCTGTCACTAGCTTCTCATGTGGATTACTGCTAGCTAATTAAAATGCAGCCATACATGTTGTCCACTGATACCTGCCAGTAAAGTCTCTAACTTGCTTAGATCAGCTCTCTTGGTGAGCTTGCTTTATCAACTTAAAAGTCATGCTAAATTTCTATAAATGTCAGTGAAAATAGTAATATTAATGAAAAAACAATTATTGAAATTATTTTTAATCTGCAGTTAAAATTCAAATGGCAAGGTGCTTGGTTTACCATTAACATACTGCAAAGTTAATTCTTTAAGGGATATCAAATGTAAAGATCATAAGCATTAAATAATAGTGAAACAGTAGTTTCCTCAGGATATAGTAGTTCTCAGCTGGCTAGTTTTGAGTGAAAGGAGACCATTCTTACCTGGTAGAGGTAGCATAGAATGAGCCAGTAGATAGTTTTCTTTGTTCAATTCGGGTTTTTTAATTTGGATTGAACTTTTTAGAAAGGGTTTGTTTTGGGTTGGTTTTTTTTTTTTTCTTTAATGGGTAGTAATAATTTATGTCTGGTCTGTGCTTTATAGCTCTCCTAATGCTGAGATATTTTACTATACCTTTTCATTATATCTCTGTATATATTATCTTTTTCAGTGCCTTGTTCTTCTCAGTCATGCTTCGTTGAAGAAGTTTGGTTATTACAGAATCATCTTGTTTTCCTTCTACTTTGAAGGAGTAGCTGCTGCTGTCATGTTTGTTCTAGGGCCAGAACACTACTATCTGTTGGCATTTTATCTCACAACAAATATGTAAGTAAACACACTTCCCTGTTCATAGATATGGCTTAAATAATTCCAACAGAGTGGACACTTGCTTTTAATAGCATGAAGATTTTGCCACTGCTTTTATGGTTTTCTTTCTCTTCCGCTTCATTTGTCAGAAAAGTTGAAACTTCAGTTACAACTCTTTTCAGCTTTCATTTCGTTCTGCTTCAGCTTTTAATATCTGCTTGCTTAAAAAAACCCCAAAAAGCCTTAAAAATTAACAGTAATTAAGGTTTGCAGCCACATGCCTCCAGCCACATACCTGTTCTAACTTAACATGAGATTCAAGGGAAGCAGAACCTCTTATCCGTATAGACACAGAAGATCTCAGTAGAGGAACTCTTCTCAGAGACTGTTTGCTAGGAAAGCTCAGACTTCATTTTGTATTGCATGAACACTTGTGTGTTGCACTGCAAAACAAATGTCGATATGTCAGGTGTCTGTTAGGTAACCAATACTGAATCACATTTTCACTGGTAATGGTTAAGTGTGATACCAAGAAATAGTATTTTCACAGTAGTAGTATATTATGATACATGGAAAACTTTATTTAAAAATAAAGACCTGTTTGTATCAGAATATTGTTACAGCATTTCAGTTTTATTTCTTAATTTTCTATTTCATTCCTTTCTTTCTACATGTTCTGCCCTCCTTTTTTCTTCTTTTTTCCCTTCCCATGTTCATTATTTTCAGTATTTCTGTCATGGGCTACTGAATTGTGTGAATAATAAATTGGATTTCATTACCTGCATACTTTAAATGATGAAGATATATTTTGATTTCCCCAGGAAAAAATTCTAAGGTACCTAAAGACTGTATGTTTAAAGTGCTAATTGTTCAAAGCCTCTCACAAGTAAAAGCTAATCACATCCAAAATTTAATAAGACATAAAAATCCTAATATATGAGTTTATGGTTTCAGTTAGAAGTTTGCGTGTGTTTAAATGTATATATATATATATATTAAAAATGGAAATATATATATAGGAATGCATATAACATCTTTTTACTGTTCTAATTCTCCCACTTTGAAGTTTGTCTTCTATGTAGTCTTTCCAGTAATGCTCATGCCCTTTTCAGATTTCAAGAGGACATTTTCAGTTTCTCTTTTTTCTAAGGTGTGTCTTTTCTCCATGTCATTTTGAATGACATTTACTGATACTCTCAAGCAAGTATTTTTGCACCAGTGTCCAGGAAAAAAAGCAAAAAAACCTCCACTTTTTAGTTTTGCATATTGATTTCTAATTCTCAATTAAGAACAGATCGGCTAATGCTTTCAGAACTGCTGTTTAAACAGATAAATCACTATGTTTTAAAAAATGTCTCAGCTTTGTGTGTTTGCAGGAATGTCAGTGTTAGGGTGTACATGTTAGATGTCAGTTACAATTTCATTATGCAAGTGTATATAAGAACTATGAACATCTTAAATATTTTTGTCTTTCTTTAGGGTAATTGTACAAGCTTCATTTAGTTTGTTCAATTTGCCTTTGGCAGATATTGTTGATGCAGATTTAATAAAGCACAAGCGGAGGTATGTCAGTCATAACTGCTTTTCTTTAAATATGCTATCTATGTGCCATGTTACTCTTTCATAAATTAGTTTATGTCAAAGTAAAGACAGTAAGTGATCTTGGATCCTTGACACAGACGTACTTTTTGTAAGAGCAACTTAGCATAAGTGAAGAACTTGAATAAAGTTTCCTGCAGTTAACTTCAGCAGAGTAATTTAAACAGATTGTGTCATTTCTAGTTTTAATTATACTATAGTATAAGCCAAGTCCTGCAGTTTCTTGTGTGTTTATTTTTGTTAGCTTCAATTTAATTATTTTGTAACCACATACATCTATTGTCACTTACGGAATTTTCTGAATAAGGCCTTTCTAACGTGGCAAAAGGGTTTAGAAAGCTTTGCCTGTGCTACGTAAAGTGCAAATTTCAAAGTCTAACTCGTTGTTGTTATCTCTCTGAAATAAAAATTGATAAAACGTGCTGTGACGTAGCATATTACAACTCACGGATCTTTTGGATTTTTGTCAAAGTGCAGATAACTTCCTGTTGGTTCCATCAATGTTTATCTAAGTGCAGATTCAATCCCAGTCACTGTATTAAAGGACTTGTCCCTCAAATATGAGAGCTATTGCTTTCATGAAGAAAAAAATGCCTCCTTTTCTGGCTTCATGCATGTAAAGTCTCAAGCTGTAATTAATTCTCCATGCGCTGCTCAGTCTAACTTAACTTCAGTAATTACTGAATGTGCACAAAGTTGAACTTGAGTGGAAGTCATTTCAGAATTAGGGCCAAGCTATAGGTATACCCCAGAGGTTTATTACCTTTCATTTCCAAATAAAGTTAAATTTCATTATGATAGCTGATCTGTTTGCTATAATGTGTGAACTGTAAAGCCAAGTATCATGACAGTGCATTTGCATATTAACAGGATTTTTAAAATCACTATTGTAATTAATATACTAATAAGTTTGTGTTGTGCATTCATTTGGTTTTTTTCCTAAATATTTTAGGTCACCGCTTTCCTCTATGGTTTTTGGTACCAATGCTTTATTTACCAAGCCTGCCCAGTCTTTGGCTCCAATGCTTGTGGTTACAATACTAAATCAATTTGGATATGAGAACCTGAATAATGAAGTTGCTCAGCCTGATCCAAGGTGAGTTCAAAAGGGATACTTTACATAATAGAAATTAACATGAAATAATCCTATCATCTAAAAAGCAATCTGCAATTAGTTTGCATCAACTGCATGTCAAAAATATAAGTGCTTTAAAAGGATTTTCCAGTTGTTTGTTCTCTGTATAGAAGAATAGATGTTTTCTAGATTTTTTTAAAGAATAAATCATTTATTAAACAATACATGATGATATGTACCTGATTTTGAAAAACAAAGGATACGTTTCAGTAGTTGACCATCTCCTGTTCTATTGCAAGAAAGGAAAAAAAATGTTTGAGATGGCCTGATACCTCTTATTAAGATACATGTTGTACTGGTTTCTGTGCTTTGTTTATCTTATAAACCTACTTTCTTGAATATATATAATCCTAACAGGGTTGCATTTAAGATACATTTTTGTTTGAGAGAAAACAGTATAATCACTGGAGGGAGGGAATTTGCCTCAAGTAGGAGTATAATTTTGGCTTTGATACTACTTACCATTCTAATGCTAATGCTCATTGCAGTCCCTGGAGACCTTAATACACAGCATAAAGCTGTGGTTGCTAGTTAGCACATTGAAAATGTGTAGGCTTTTATAAAACCATATTAACAGAGAGTCAGTACACTGAAAGGGTCATAGGCTGTTTATTTATGACCAAAAAGAGGAAGTGTCAATGTAAGGAATAACTGAAGTCAAGAGTAAAAGGCAAAAATCAGTCCTGATTAGGATTTGCTTGAGAGAACAACATGAATATCCTGAGAACGACATAGCGCCCCTAAATTTTGAGTAGAAACCTTAAAAAATACACAGAAGACGATTGGATAGGAACTTTTGTGGAGATAGCTCTTGAAGGACAAATGACTGGTTATGTGTCATCTAGGGCTTGGAGAATGTTTCATGTTTGAGGAATTTTCTAAAAAAATGTATGAGGAAAAGCATGACATAAAAGGACAACAGGTGGTCTTCAGAAAAGCATCCTGACACAAGCAAAGAAGGCTTAAGTTTGAGGCTATGTGTGAGAACAGTTAATTTTATTTTAATGCATTCTGTAGATAGCCAGACACTGAGATGATGTGAAGAGGACATGGACCTCATTATAATGTCAAATAAGATGAGTGATTTTTGCAGAAGAGTGGTAGGTTGAACTGGATGTGGATATGAAAGGGCTGAATATATTCACCTTGATGATTCAGAGAAATTCAAATTTGAAACTTAAAACCTGTAGTTCTGATCCCTTTCAATCAGAGAAATGATCCCTTTGTGGATGGATTTTAAATCACAGTAGCTATAAATCTTTTTTTCCCCAGTAAGTAGCCTGTGGACTATAGCAACAATAAATTTCTTGTATATAGAGTTGAAAGACTTTGAATGCTCAGTCTCTGAAACCTGTGTTTTCAACTGAGTCATGCTGAAATTGTATTTATTTCACTAGGGCAAGGAATAGCATAAAGGTACAAAGCTGAGATCAGTTAATCAAAGAGCACCTGAAATATACTCTATATTTCTCTTGCCCATCCATTCAAAAATAATTTTGTAAATATGAAGCAGTCTGCGTGTGTCTTCTGTGTGTGTATGTGTGAATGTGCATGTCCTTCACTTTGCAAATGGACTACAGTCCACAAAGACCAGACTACTCAAGATTGGTTCTAGGGAGTCAGTTTGCCCATGGCGAGGTACTCAGACCATTGACCGAGCTAAAATCACTTACACATATTAAAATCCTATCAGCTGATCGCAGATTTGGGTTGAAAACTGGCTGAATGGCTCAATGGCCAGGCCCAGAGGGTGGCATGAAGTCTACTTGGAGGTCAGTAACTAGTAGTGTACCCTAGGGGTCTATACTGGGTCCGGTCCTGTTTAACAGCTTCATTAATGGTCTAGATGATGAGGCAGGATGTACCCTCAGGAAGTTTGGTGATGACACAAAACTGGGAGGTGTGGCTGATACATCAGAGGGTCATGCTGCCATCCAGAGGGATCTCAACAGGCTGGAGAAATGGGCTGACAGGAACCTCATGGTTCAACAAGCAGTGCAATGTTCTTCATCTGTGGAGGAACAGTATATGCTGGGGGCCACCCAGCTAGAAAGAGGCTTGGCAGAAAAGGACCTGGAGGTCCTGGTGGACACCAAACTGAACATGAGCCAGCAATGTGCTCTTGTGGCAAAGGTGGCAAATGGTATCTTGGGCTGCATTAGACAGTAGGTCAAGGGAGGTGATCCTTCCCCTCTGCTCGGGGCTGATGAGGCCACACCTGGAACACTGTGTCCAGTTCTGGGCTCCTCAGTACAAGAGAAATGTGGACATACTGGAGAGAATCCAACAGAGGACCACAGAGATTATTAAGGGATTGGAGCATCTCTCCTAAGAGGAAAGGCTGAGAGAACTGGGTCTGTTCAGCCTGGCAAAGAGTCAGCTCAGGGGGTATCTTCTTAAAATACCTTAAGGAAGGGTGCAAAGAGGACTGGATTCAGTGGTGCCCAGTGACAGGACCAGAGTCAATGGGCATAAACTGAAACACAGGAGGTTCTCTCTAAACATCAGGAAACTTTTTTACTGTGAGGGCAACACAGTCCTGGGCAGCTGGCTCTATGTGGCCCTGCTTGAGCAGGGGTTTGGAGCAGATGACCTCCAGAGGTCCCTTCCAACCGCAACCATTCCATGATTCTGATTCCATGAACAAAGTTCCAGTATTTAATGATAGTAAGAATATGGGTATGTTACAATGTATTGGGCTTCTGTGGCAAGGTCTTGGTAGTGGGGGGGCTACAGGGGTGGCTTCTGTGAGAAGCTGCTAGAAGTTTTCCCTGTGTCTGCCGCTGGCCAAGGCCAAGC